AAGTGAAAATGTGGATGAATCAGTAGTACAGAAGTCTAACACTACGGATATTGAAAAAAGCGAAAACACTGAATCAGAAAAGAAGTTGTTTAAGAGTAAGGACTTTGAATAGATAGTTTCTATTTTCCACTTCTAAAAGTTGAGTTTTTATGATACGGGTTTTTAGGCATTTGTCCCGGCCGTCTCGTCTTTCAAAAGCTTGCTGTGAATAGCCTACCACGATTGAATGTAACAACCGATGTTTTGGCTGAAACACCCGCAGACTGTGCAAGGAAATGCTACGAATCTGTAAGCAGCGTTTTCTAAAAAAATTTTTTTTTTGTTTTTTTTGTTGCTTCAGTAATTAATCTCTTATTAAACTTCATAATGAATTTGTAAAAGGAAAACAGTAAAGCAGTTCTGTAATTTTTTATAGGAAAACTGCTCAGTGGCTGGATATATACCGGATCCAACATCGGGGGACAGTAATAATGGTGTTTGCTTGTTAACTTCTGACAAACACGAATGTCACTCCGACCTATCTTTTGTACCTCAACATGCTTCATCAGCTCCATTTATTATTTCTTGCATCACTTGCTCAGGTATGATCCTTAACCACTGCTCAAAACTGTTTTGAAAGTTGTTAATTTTGAAACAGATATGTTTGTTGTTACTCTCTAATAAAATGAATTAAAATAAGTGCTGCAAAGTGTATCTTCAATTCAGATTGCTCCTACACAGTGACTCCGGTCACACCCGATCAAACTATTCACAGCTTTGATGTTAGTAAGATCACTAAAACTATCGGAGATTGCGCTAGAAGGTGTTATGAGAAACACTGTGTCACGGCTCAATATGATCCAAGTCTTAATTTGGTAATAGTTTTACATTTTCTTGACCTTTTTTTTTGATCTGTTTTTTACAAGTCTTTGTCAAAAAGTTGCTGTCTGGACGTCCAACTGCAAAGTTCTTCGTAAATATTGATAAGGCAGAACTTAAAAAGAACGACAAATGCTTGAATAATTTTAGTGTCTGATGTCAATGGATGGGAGAGAAGCTGAAGAGTGCAAACAAGAAAGAGCGATTCAAACTGATGGAGTGTTGCCGACTATTTTGAAATGTGTAAAATGTAATCCCTAAAGCTTTTTAATCTTCATAACCAAAGTTACTTCCTTCGTGAGGTATTGCTCAATATCTTTAAAATTTTTTAAAACCAAGCACACTTAGTTAATTTACCGCACTTAGCAGAACATAAATTATTTTTAATGTACTGCAAATGTTATTGGCATTTCCCGATAGAATTACATACAGACTGTCTATATTGACATAATGACTTAACCTATCTTTGGTTGACTCTATGTGTTTAAAAGCTTTTTTCTACGAATTGAAGGTAGAAAAGAGATGCTAAGTTCTTGAAGGTTTTGCTAATGTGTTTATTAAATTGTACTTCTAAGGTTAGACCTGAAACCATTGTATTTTTTACTTCATGTTGTTGTATATTACTTTCGCAATTCAGTATGTGCATTTGATTTTTTTCTAATACATTACTTAACAGGGGTCAAGGATTAATCGGACGTCGAGTTTTTACGGTTCTTTTACTTCCTCATCCTGCCAGCGCTTTCATTTTTCTTGATCTACTTATTATTTTTGCAGAACATTTAGGAAAGAGCAAAACTCTTTTTACTTCATAAGTAAGGTAGAAAATCCCACTTTAAGGCTGTTTGTAGTTAAGACGATTAGTTTTTTTGCAAAAGCCAACATGGCTTACATAGCTATTTTAAAAGCATTTGTTGATAGCTGGATGCTGGGGAACGGTTCTGTCAAGCTAATTTCTAAATTATATATTAAACATTGTCGATTGTCGAAGTCTTTGCTCAAAGTCCAGCTCTGTTTGCTTCGTTGTTAACCGTTTCGCCAGAATCATTGCTAAACTATAGAGATCTATAATTTGTTTTTCGAAGACCTTTTATTGTCAGTTTTACATACTGAACATCTTTTTTCGTTCAGTTATTGTTTATTTTTGTCTTCATCACTTCTCGGTGTACTTTCTCAAGGTGTCGCAATGTTTCTACTGTACGTCTTGCTAATTTTGAGAGTTCTACTTGAATAAATCATTTCTTCTCCTAAAAACCTCAAAAACGTAGATGTTTTTTGATCCTAAAAAGTTATTCGCTAAAATTCTTTGCTGCAGGTGATTTAGTAATTATTTCTGGCTATTGTTTGGTCAGAGATGAGTATGCGAATTACTTTTGTGCACATTAGAAATGATCAGAACGTTTATGAAAACACCACTGAACAGCATGCCTTAATAGCTCACATGCAGACTTTTTTTTTAGAGATTTTAATACACTGTGCTTTGAAAGTACCCTATATTTCTGTCCTCATCTTTTTTGCTGCTGGTAGTGCTCCTAGCAAACTCGTAATGTACATAGTTTGAACCTGCTAAAAAACGATTATTATTTCGTACTGCTCAGGCAAAGTAGAGAATTTTTGGACTCTCATAGGCTCTTAAACGTGTCAAACACGCCAATGTTAAACTAGTATATGTATAAGTCGTCTAGCGCCTTTTCATGCAGATTACTGAATTTAGAAATTTAGTACAATTTTTACTAGAATTTATACAAAGGTTTGGAAGGTGATCATTAACTTTACTCAGTGCTTTATTTGTCTTATTTTTGGTTTCCTTCGTAATTTGAAATTTCAAAAAAGCTGCTGATTTTTAAAGAATTTTTAATTTCATTTGCTTGAAAGACGATTCTAAATGAACTCTGAGACAATGGACTGGACAGAAAGTGAAGGCTGAGGCAGGCTTAGTCGACCCATATGCTGCGAACTGTCTGAGGGTAGAATTTGAAGGGGATTTCGCCAACAAAGCCTGAAGTAAAAGGTAAAGACATTTTGTGAGTGCTGAAAAAAAAACAAAATTAAGCCAGGAAACAAATAGAGCGTAAAAAAAAAAAATTCTTCCGGAAGAATTGCAAATGCTAGTGGTGGGGAAAAGGGCAGTCCAGAGATGATCGATTCTAGATTCTGAACTTCCTGCAAATGAGCTCTACACTGGCTTTACCAAAAGAAGCGACGAAGAAAGTTAATCTGCACTGGAAATTGTAGAAAAGTTACCGGCGAAGAATACCAGCCACAATTTTAGGCTTCAGCAGAGGCCTCAGTAACAGCGATAAAGTTGAACAAAAATAATTAAAAATCTAGAGAGAAAAAAATTTTCCTTGTGAAAACTTCTGTTTATTTTGAAGCAGGACACAGCTTAAAGTAATTTTCTCTAGTCGGTCTCAGTGTAATTAACTTATGGATTCATATGTAATAGCAGAGGTGCAAATAACCCTTATCACTCAGAAAAATTAAAAAAACGATTGTTCCTGCAACGCTATTAGTTTCTGTACATAAGCAGAAACCTATAGGAGAGACTTCGTTAAGCGGAGGTAGAGATAAAAAGCAGTGCTGGAATCTTCGGAATCGTAGAGGAATTTCTCTGTGTAACTCCTTCCTCCTGCAGGAAGAGGATATAAAGAAACTGGAAGCAGAAAAGCTCTTGCTTGAAACAAAAAGTTTGCTTTAATGCTCAAGGAGAAGTAGGAAAAGAGTAACACTGCGATCAAATTTTTTTATCAATAAAATTTCCGTTCTTCTTCTGTAAAAAATGAAGAATTTTTGGAATTAGAAGCTTGTATACATGTTTTTATCCACCTCTGTATAAAACTACAGAGGTTGAGTACAGTCACGAAAAACAATTCAGAACAAGGAAAGTTTCAAGAATTTTACACATTCCGTAATTTTCAAAGTATTTTTTTAAACACATGGCATAACAAATTATTATTCACTGCAAAACAAAATTAAGGTACCAATAATAACACCAAAACTATAGCATATTTTGCACGTCATTTTCACGTTCCGATTTTTCGCAGCGACTTGGTCATCCCACAAGCGTTATCACAAAACTACACTACAGAACCACTTCATCCTTTAACTTCTCCCTGAAAAAATGTACTTACGGTTGCATAAGTTAAATTTACAAACAAAATCGGTTGTATTACCGAACAGTGGCAGTAACATGATAATTAAGTCAAGATCATAGCCCCAATCAGAATGAATATTGATTATCAAAGAAACCACTTTAAGTTAAAGATTATTGCGTCAGGCAGAGCAGGATTGTCCGGAATATTCCAAATGAAGCAGTATGGAATTCTCAATGATCACTTCTCATGCAAATACGTAATCGGTATCATTCCAGAGACGAACTGTTAGAAATATTGCATATTACAAAGGCGATAAAAGCTTAATTTAATTAGCACGCATTGCACAGATTCTAAATATATTAGGCCAGTTTTAATAGTAAAACAGAAAGAAAAAACTGTAGCTTATATAACGTTTACGCATTATTCTCTTGAAGCATACTTTGAGTCTTTTCATAAGCACTCCTCCGGTAAAGTTTGGTAATAAAATAGCGTTTAAAAACAGAAAATACTGAAAAATTTTGAGCGTATTTCGGTGGGCAGTTAAAGCAAGGTGATCTCAAACAATAAGAGTTCATAAGTTAGTGACAACTTTTAGGGAATTCTGCCGCATGAATTCTTTTTTATGATACTCTTGAGCCCCGCATTTACTAAATTTCCCAACACTAATATCTTTTCAACTAGAGGTTTAAAGCCCAGTTTATCTCAATACATCTCAATATATCATTTCTTTGAAAACTCAGCTGATTCCATCGCATATGCTGCTAGCGCTTTACCTCTCGATCAGCAAACTCTAGTGAAAGTGAGATCATAACCAAATCTACAGGCTAGCTGGCCAGTTCCGTAAACCAATTCATGAGAATGCCAAGGTCCGTTTTATTATATCAAAATATTATATTATACTAATTTACTCGCCATATACGGCCAGAGCCTACCACTGGTTTTCATTTGATAAAAGCACTAAGCTCTAACATTTCTATGTTGGAATTAAAAAATATTGTTTGATAAATTTGCAAAAACCACTACAAAATTTGAGCAAAGGTTCTCAAGCACTTACGCTTTCTGCTTCTTCTTATCAGCTAGAGCATTAAAAAGGCCTCCCAGGCCAAGTGCGCCAAGAGCAATAGCTCCTGTAACAGCAAGTGCAGGTCCGTCTACCGCTGAACTTGCTGATGCTATTCCTGCAACAACATAAGAAGCAGAACCAATGCCGGTAAAACGTCTACATTTGCTTTGCTCTTCCATTACTTCTTTAACAACTCTTTCGGCATTATAGAATTTTGCCTAAAAATAAACTTCAAACATAGCACGGTTAAATTTCAAAGCAAACAAAATAACTTTTGAAAAAAGTATTTGACGTTCGATTCCCAACCTTCCGTTGAGATCCCGCAATAAAAAGTGTGTGTCTGCTGCAACGGTTCCAATTTTCTGAAAATAAAGTTTGGCGAAAGCACAGTTTCGCAATAGCTTCTATTTACTCTGGATACTTCTTTTGGAAAAATTTTGTAGTTTCTTGGATGTTCTGGGAATGATGCTTTTGCCGATTAAGGGTTACCGGTTGTATTTCTGAGTTACAAGTTGCTTTTTTAAGCTAGTCTTTGTTTTTTATGGAAGCTTCTTTGCAGTTCCGGAAAACCTTTTGTCCACCCAGGTCGGTTATCCTAAACTTGGCTGTACTCATTAGATTGCTCCAAGAAAGATTTGCTTAACTATGTTAGTTTTGTAATTTTTTAAAGGTACTGGTTGTTTTTTTACTCAAGTTCACGTCTCTTGTGTTTTTGAAAGTTTATCTTCAGTTTGTTACATTTATTTTGGTACCGGCTTAATAAAGTTTCCTGCAGCTGGCCTATCTATCTGTGATTGTCTAGTTAAGAATCTCCAGCATCTTTTAAAGATTTCCATCCTTAGGTGTTTTTATATCTTATTGAATTCCAAACAGTATAACCGTTTTCTGCGCTTGAAGATACAGAACAGTTTCAGTAGCGGTTGGAATTATGAATAGTGACAAAAACCTCTGCAAGTTTCTTGAGTTAATGAAATACGGAAGCTCGTAATGCTGTTAAGGTCGGGAAAACAGTCCGACTCTTTCTAAGTAGACTACTGCAAGTAGTTGGGCTATTCCTGAAACAATTTAATAAACATAAACATCCTTAGGACGAAAAGCATCTATAAAAAGCTTTTTCAAAATTGCAATAGACGTGGAGTCGTGCTAAAAAAGATCAATAGCTCAAAAAACGTTCGTTAGCCTCTAATATAACCAGCTTAATAGATCACTTCTGAAGCATTCTAATGAGTATATCCTGGTTTTTGAACGAGCATCCTGTGTTAAAAAGTCTTCCATAAGTACAGCAAGCTCATACAGTAACCGTATGTCAGTTTAAAACAACACATAATGCAAGAAGAGAAAATAACTAGTGATCAGTATTTGAACTAACTCAGTTGCTTGTTTTTAAAATGCTCTAATGCCTATAACGACTTTTTAAATGAGCATTCTGAGTACATGAGAACTTTTAATCATATCTGTGTATATGAAGCATCATAATCTGAAAATTAGAACCGCTCCAACAGGCTGGTATTTCACGACAGCGAGATCTTCAATTAAGGCCGGAAATGAAAAACGCTACAGTTTTTTTTTCAATTTAAAAAAGTATGCTTTTTACAGCACTTTTAAGTCACAACAATATTTGCTGAAAAAAATAGTAAAAGCAAAGAATTACTTCGAAAAACGTTTCTGCTTTCTCAAGCCACCTGTCTGAAGATCCTGGAGCAACGTGCTCCATTTCGCTGAGCATCACATCTATACACTCTGCTTTCACAGAATCATGCTTTCTCAGTACACCGTCAACGCAAAGCATGTCAATTGGTTCTTCTCTTATATACTAGAATATTGTTTTAAAGAAAATCTCAGCGAGAATAGTTTTTAACACATTGCGGTGAAAAGAGGTGTCGGGCCATCACAAATAACACAATTAATTTTTTCTAAGATTATGGTGTCTTTTTAAACGTGTAAGATGGTCCAACTGAATCACATGCAACTAAATCAATCATCTACAGCGTTTTTCAACATCCTTTTTCAAATATTTTTTAGCTGGGCTGTTTAATCAATCTACACATCAAATTAATGAGTTACAGATTAGCTATTGTTGTGTTTCTCACAAATTCCTTGTGCAGTAAGAACTCCCATACTGAATTTTAAAACAGAACCTGCTTGAAAGCCGTCGCTTATAAATATTTTTCTCTAAGAGAGGATCAAGAAAAATACCACAGAAAATCTACATTTCTTAAGTCAACTAATTGGTTAAAGTCAATTTTAAGTCACATTTACATTTCTTTTTTCAAAATTGATGCTTTGTACAGTTCTATAAGTGCTGTTTTGCCGTGGATGATGCTAAAAACCGTCTAAACAGAGGATGAAAATTTTTATTAACCAGACTGATCTGGCCAATTCTTTTGAGATTTAATGCGCAACTTTTTTTTTTGAAAATTTTTTTGCGCAAAGACTAAGATTTGAATAAAATAATTTGGTTTTTAGAAAGAGTAACAACATAAATCGCATTAATTTCAATTGTCTTCTACTCAGACTTCAAATCTTTTAGAATTCAGTGTAGCAATCTAGCAGAAAATGACGAAGTTTGATGCAGTACGCATATAAAAATACAAAAATTTTAAAAGAGCGAAACTTTTTAAATGCTCAAGGTTCTGTCAAAAGTTTTTGTAGTAATGACGAGTAACTGACAAAAGAATCAGATGGTAATTATTCTAAAAAAAACTGGCCTGCTGAGTGATACACTTTAATTTCTATCTGCTGAAGCTAACGTCACCTTGTTTTAAGCAAATCACATCTACAATTTTTTAGAGTCAAGTGACAAACAGAATTTGGTGCAGTCTGAAAAAAAAAAAAACAGAATTTGTAATCTTAAAGAAAACATTTTTTGTAGCTCAAAACTTTAGTATCCAAAACGTGTTTAAAAATTGTAATGTTAGGTCTATCAGAAGCTCATCAGTTGCTAATTATTTTTTCTTTCTATCTTTTTCTTTTTGACTTTTCCTTCGTTTGAAACGTACTAGCTATTTTACAGAAATAAATAGATTTTCTAAAGATGGCATAAAAGACAAGTGATAGCACAGCGACAAAGAAAGCTGAAATACACAAGGTTGCAGCTTCAAAAATGGCAAACATTCTAAACTTTTACTAAGATTTTTTAGCATACTCAACAGTCATAATAATGCTCGAGAGTATGTTGTTTGTGTACAAATCTCTAATTACTTCTTTTCTTTAGTGATTTTCATGTTTGCCGCCGGTGCTCACCACATTTTACAACGACTATGCAATAAACAGTGTCTATTTAATCAAACGATATTCATAAATTTTTTTTTTGTTTTTTTTTTTTTT